AAAAAAACTTTAAACTTCCAAATAAGAAAGAAAAGAAAAGAAAAGAGAAGAATTTTTTTTTCCCTCTTTTCTTTTTATCCTTTTCAATCCTCTAAAATATTCATTTTTTTTGTCGTCGTTGTTCGTTTGTTTGTTTTTGCTCGTTTGCCCGTTTGTTTGTTTGTTTGTTATTCCGTTCGTTGTTGCCGCGGTGGAAAAAAAAAAAAAAAACAAAAGTCAAAGTTCGAAAGCTTAAACAAGTGATGGCACTTTTTTTTTGAATGTTTCATCATTTCGCTTCTCAACGAAATATTTAAATAAATAATAATGATGATGATGATAATGATAATAATAATAATAATAGTAATAATAATAATAGTAATAATAATAATAATTTTCTTTTCTTTTTTTCGGTTGTCGTTCGTAAAGAAAAGTTTGTTTGTCGTTAAATAAAGCAGAAAATAAAAATAAAAAAAACTTACAGGGATTCATCTAAAAAAATTGTTCGAGCTAATAATAATAATAATAATGATGATGATAACAATGATAATGATAGAGAAAGAAAAAGAAAATCTTCTTGTTTGTTCGCGTACAAACAATATACAAACGCGATGCAAACAAAGCTCTTTTTTTTCTTTCTTAACATTGCTATCAATGTATTGATAACAGGTATTGATAAATAAACAAAATCACGAACGAAAATAAAAAAAGAGAGAGAGAGAGAGAAAAAAATTTTTTTTCGTTTTCGTCTCTCTCTCTCTCTCTCTCACACACGCACTCTTTCGTCGATGTGGCGGAAAACCCTAAAGTATATATTTTTTTTGTTAAAATGGCGGGAAATTTAAAATGCGTAATGTATATGCCCTTTATTATTATTATTATTATTATTAATGATAATATCAAAAACTTGACGTAAACCTGATTTCTATATAAATATAAACCTGAAATCCTTGAATTAAATTTTTTTTTTGTAAAATATTAATTCAGATTTCGTTATTATTATTATTATTATCGTCGTCGTCGTCGTCGCTTTCTCAATAAAAAAAAATTGACGACTTTCAATAAAATTGTGGAACAACAACTGGAACTATGAAGCAACAAACAATTCCAGGTTTCGACCTGATTTATATTAAAAAAAAAAAACGTGGAACAAGAATTTTTACTGTGACGTACGCGACGACGTCGATGACGACAACGACGCTTTCGTCGCAAAATTTCCCATTTTTTTTTTTTTTTCTGATAGAAATTTACGTCACGATCGTATTTGTTATTATTATTATTATTATCGACGGGGAGGTGGGGGAGGGGAAAACGCACACACAAACCGAATTTTTTCTCGTCGCGAACACCATCATTTACTTTTAAAAAAAAAAAAAAAAAACGGAAACGGAAGCAGCCGAATTAACGTCGACGACATAAAAAAAAAATTTCTAATAATAATAATAATGATAATGATAATAATAATGATCAAATCCAACCTTTGATGCAAAAAAATGAAAAATAAAAAAAAAATTTTGAGCACGGATACACATTATTAAATGAAATAAAAGATTATTTCCATAGATACACATTAAAAGTTTATCCACGCGCACACACACACACACACACAAAATTCCACAAATAATAATAATAATAATAATAATATTAATATTAATAATAATAATTATATCAAGGTTATACTATATTGCATTGATTATATATATATTAATTCGATTTTGATGTTTAATTCACTTTAAAATATATATATCCGTTAAAATTGTTTTCTGTTTGTTTTTCACTAAAATAATAATGATAATAATAAATGAAACAAACAAACAAACGAACAATTTAAAAAATATAAAATAAAGAAACAAACAAAATTAAAAAAAAAAAAAAAAACTAAAAACGCGACGAACAAAAATTGCTGCTCGACATTCCGCGACCCGAAACGCCGACCAACTGTGGATTGCAAAATCAACGCGCAGGTTGGCCAATTCAAATCAGGGCCGTGGCAAGAGAAAAAAAAACGCGTTTTTTTTTTTTTTTCATAAGTTGACGGCATTTAATAACGGATTTTTTTTTTCGCTTTTGTTTTGTTTGATATTAACATTCAGAGAGAGAGAGAGAGAGGGGGGGGGAGAAAGATTTTATTCTTTAAACGAATTAAATAATATTAATAATAATAATAATATTGATTGACGGTTATATTATTGTTATTATTATTAGGAGAATTATTAATATTATTTTATTTTAAATAATAATTTTAATTCTTTATTGTGAATATCAAAAGATTTTTCTCTCGCGAATAAAATCCAACAACAACAACAAAGGAAGAAAATGGTAATTTTATTGATTTTCTTTTCTTCATTCTTTTTCTTTTTTATATTACTTAAAAGGAATTTATTTAAATAAATAAATAAAATTTTATTTATGTAAATAATAATAATAATAATAATGGAAAATGAGAGAAAATTTCGGAGAGGGGGAAGAAGGACGGGAAGGGTAAAAATTTTAAAAATTGCCTTTCGATGAACGTGTATACCCGTAAAAAAAATTTTTTTTTGACTTTTTTCATAAGGAAAAGTGTGAAAATTTGGAGGGAGGGGGAAGATTGGAGGGTGGGGGTGGGTGGTAAAGGGTTGTTATTTTTCCGAAAAGTAAAAAAAAATGTTAAAACAAATGTTAATCGGTTTTTTTTTTTTTAAAGTTTGTCTCTCATTTGAAAACCCGCATTTAAAAAAAAATAAAATTTTCCTATTAAAAATTATAAAGAAGTAAAAAGAAGTAAAAAAAAATTTCTTCTGCTTCGAAAAAAAAAGAAAAACATTTTTTTCGGTTGTTATCGGTTGTTGTCGTTTGTTGACTAATTTTTTTTTTTTTTTTTGATTTTATAAATTTTAATCATCATTATTGAATCTTCTTAAGTTTTAAAGTTTGATTTTTTTTTAAATTTTTTTTTGGCGCGATTTTCAATAATAATAATAATATTAATAATTTTGGGTGAAAATACGTTTGTTTGTCTAGTGACACGTACAAAAAAAAAAAATTTTTAAAACTGACTTACACTGCTATGTGATAAAGAACGCATTTCCATCCTGATGGCCTTTCCAAAAAATTATAAACTTTCCCTTGAAACGTGGCACCAGCTCTTCTATGTTCTTTCATCAAATATCTTTCTTCCCAACCTTCGGATTTATCTTGGAGTCCTTTCGTGTCCAAACCTAACAAACGTAAACAAATTAATTTTTTTCCTTTTTTTGTCTGTTGTTAAGGTATACTATTACTACTCAACAGATAAAGTATTGTGCACATACATAAAAAAAATTAATGTATGCTGTTTGTTGTGTAAACGATATATTGATTTTTGTTTGTTTGTTTTGGAAAAGCTTTTAATACTTTTTTAACTCTTTATATTTTTTTTTCCCACGTGATATAACAAACGGGTTGTTCGTTAATTTCATACTTTGACGATAACAAACGTAAATGGGGTATGTCATACATAAACCCCCCCCAAAAAAAAATTGTTTTTCCTTCTCTTTTGTCCTCTCCCTCTCCTGCCCTTCCCACTCCCTCCCTCCACTCCACCTCCTCTCACATCACCCCCGTATGCACGATTTCGCGTATCGGTTAATGAAAATTTATTAATAAAAAAATAATAATAATAGTAATAATTTTTACAAAAAATTTTTTCGTTACGCATCCTGAGGGCAGACATTTTTTTTTTTAGGGTTGTTTCTGCTTTAAGGTAAAAAAAAAAAAAAAAAATAAACCGAGAGTAAAAATAAATAAATAAATAAACAAATATTTTCTTTGCATTTTAGTTTTTTTTTGTACACTTTTGACATCATGGCCTTTCCTAATCGTATCACCGCCACATCCCTCCCCCTAAGGGGGAGGAGAAAACCCTTCGAGCTTTTGTTTTGATTTTAATGTTTTGATTACATGGCGTAACAACAAAAGATTTTAAAGAAAAAGTAATTTACTGAAATTGTTTAGTGAGAAAATCAATATACATTAAAGACAAAAAAAAAACAAACCTTGAGGGGGGGGGGTAGGAAAGTGAAAGAGAGAGGGCCATTTTCAAAAAAGATCAAGGACGGATAGTGAGAGAGGGGAGGAGAGGAGGGTAGATTGTGGTGGTGGTGGTGGTAAAGAAACGCGATTTAAATTGCTTTAATGGAAATTAAAAAAAAAAATTATTATTATTATTTTGGAAAAAAAATTATTTTCACATTTGAATAATTAAAAATTTATCCGCCATTTTGTTTATTTTATTAACATTAATAATTCAATTAAAATTATCATTATTATTATTACATTTTCGGATTACCGTTAAAACAATTATTTGATTGATTGATTGATCGATTGGTAAAAAATTTAAATTTGAAATCATCATCGGAAAAAAAAGGAAAAAAATTCCAGTCGTGTGAGTTTTTTTTTTTTTTTCCATGACGAAAGCGGAAGTCGTGTTAGTAATTGAATTCGTCGGTAGGATGCGCTTCAATCGGAAAATATTATTATTTAAAAGAAAAAAATGATTATTAAATTTACCGACGAATGTCACTTATATAAATGAAAATAAATTTTTTTTTTCTTTTCGTTTCCAGAACGTTCGATATAAGTTACTATGATGAAAAAAAAGGAAAAAAAAGGAAAAATGTCTCGAAATTATATGAAATTCAGTATTTTTAATAGAGAAACAAGGAAAAAAAAAAGGTTTAAGCTTGAGTTTTTTTTTCCCTAGTGATCGCCATTTTTAAAAATAATAATTAAAAATCTTTAGTTAAAATAATTATTTGTGTGTGTGTGTGTGTGGGAGTGCGGGTGATTAATTGCCACGTTTAATACGAACATTCTTCTCCCCCTTGAAAACAATTTTTTTTTTCATGTTTAATTAACATAATAACCGACCGAATTTGTTGGAAAATTTCTATGGTGTTTTGCTTTTTTTTGTAAAAAATAAATAATTTTCTTTTGATTAGAAACCTTTCTCTCTCTCACTCTCTCTCTCTTTGTCTTTCATTTCACGAAAAATTTTCCAGTTAAACTCCTTTCGTAATTTTTTTTTTTTTTTGCTTTTTCTTTTCTACAAGAAAAAATGAATGAAATGAATGATGAGAAAATGAAAATGTGAAAAACAGGTGTTGGCTGACCTGAAAAGTTTTTTTTTTTTTTCTTGTTTCATACCTTTTATTATTATTATTATTATCATCATCATCATCATTTACTTTATTTAATAACTTACGTCCATCAAATTTCATATAATAAATAAATAAATAAATTATTAGTAATAAAATTCCCCGTATTCTGAATTTATAATAAACAAAAGAAATTCTATGTCTTATTATTATTATTATTTATTTTTTAAATTTAAAACTAAAAACGAAAAAAATTATTATTATTATTATTTTTCGTACTTTGATGTAAAAAAAAATTTTTTTTTAAGGCGGTCAACAAACCAGAAAAAAACTCAAAGTTCAAAAGTTTATATTAAAAAAAAAAATAACTCAATGTCGTCTGCATTTTACATAATAATAATAATAATTTTTTTTTCATTTCGTAAACGGCATTTGATTTCGTTTAACAAAAAAAAAAAAAAAAATTAATGATAATAATAATAATAGTAAAAAGAGGGGGGAGGGAAAAATGTTATTATTAAGTAATAAATAAGAATTCGTAAATTTTTCTTATTTTTTCTCTTTTTTGCCTCTCAATTTCGTTTCTTTCCCCACCCCCTCATCCCCTCAAACCTCCCCCACAAAGAAAATATTAAAAATTTTTTCGGGAAATTAATAAACTAATAATAATAATAATAATGAAAATATTTAAATAAAAAAAATTTAATTTTTGTTCGTTTGTTAAATAGATAATTTATATTCAAATTTGTTTTTTCGATAAATCAAATGTTTTTTTATTATTTTTCTTCTGCTATTATAAACTTTTATCATTATTATCATTATTATTATTATTATTGTTGTTGTAAAAAACGCTTTGCGATTTCGTTAAAATGCACAACGAACAAAAAAATAAAAAAATAAAATATTCAAATGAAATTTTTTTTTTTTTATTGTTGTGTCGATTCGTTCGTTGCAGGTGATGACGTATTTCCGGTTTGGGGAAAAGTGATGAGGGTTGTGATGACATACGTACGATTTGTGTACCGTATTAATAATAATAATAATTTTTTGATTTATATGAGTACTCACCGGCGAAAAATCCTTCCTTTTGACTTCCTCCACTTCCTCTCCTCTCTTCCGGATTTGGCGTGTTGACGACAAAATCACCCGCCGCTCCGGATAAATTTGATAGAAAACTTTTTTGATCGTCATTATCGCTGTAAGAACTTTGTACAAAGTCTAATATGGTCACAGATAATTGATTTTTAGACGAGTTTTGAGTTTTTAAAACTCCCGTTGGAAAACAAGAATTGCTTTGTTTAATAATTCCGGTTGTCGTCGGAAACTGGAGCAAATCTTGAACTTCCGTTTCTTCATAGTCCGGAGTAGCCATTCCATTTCTTGTGTGGGTGACACTTTTTTCTTTTCTTTTCCCTCTCTATTTTTTATTCCTTTAAACTTTACTTATTATTATTATTATTATCACTGATATATATTATGACGTAACGTTCCTTTTTCAAATTATTATCAATCATATTTTTCCTGGAAAAAAAAAAAAAAATAATAATATGAGAAAATTTTTGAAAATTTATAAGGAAATAAAAAAACGTAAATCGATTCATAACTAACAATAATACAAGCCGTTACTCTTTCTCTCTCTCTCACTCTCAAAGGAAATAATGAATTCATAACTGAAAATTTAAATTTCTGGATATTTCCATGAAATATTTAAAAGGGGGGGGGGGCAAAATTCATTAAAGAAAATATTACAAGTTTAACATTCTTAAAAAATTATATATTTGTATTATTAATTCAGATGGAAAGATCATAAAACAAAAAAAAAGGAAAGAAAAAAAGGAAGGAATGAAAAAGGAATGAAAAAAAAAAAGGAAAGAAAATAAATTTTCCGCTGGAAAAAAAAAAAATTTTTTTTTTGCTTTTTTTTTTCTTATTTTTTTTTTATGCACGCGCTCGGAATTGAATGAAGCGTGTAATTAAAAATTAATTAATTTTTCATTCTTCTTACGTTTCATTTAATGTAAATTTATTATTTATAAAAAAAAAATTTTCTTTTCTTTTTTCTGACTTTTCCGTCATAAACATTTCATTATTTTTTTTACTCGTTTGTTTTTTTAATTAAAAAACAAACAAACAAACAAACAAACGATTATTATAAAAATTTATCGTTAAATGACAATGAATGCAACACACGATTAAATTTTTTAATTTTTTTTTTTAATTTTTCAAAATCACGTGCGAGAAAATTTTTTTTTTTTGGAAAACTTTCTCCATTTTCTTTTTATTATTATTATCATCATCGTTCGTTCGTTCGTTTCTTTCTTTCGCGTGTAGAGTTATTAGTAATAGTTGTGCTATATTTTTTTTTGTTTTATTTCATTGTCTTCTGCTCCCACACATTTAAATCCTCTAAACCTGGATTAGTTTCCAAGTAACAAAGTTTCTTTTATTATTACGTTTCTTTTCTCTCTCTCTCTCTCTCGAGCCCAACTCTAATTCATAAACAATGAGAAAAAATCTCGATGGAAAAGTAATTTTTCGTAATTTTCCTATTCGAATCGCACAATATAAACAAAAATACGCGTGCGTTTTTCTTTCTGCGTTTTCTTTTCATGTCCAATATTTTCATAAGGTACCTAAAATAAACAGTCGATAACTTATTTCACTTTTTTTGTTTTTTGTTTTCTCGAAGCAAAAAAAAAAAAGAAAAGAAAAAGAAAACAACGTGATGAACAAAAGAAATCAAAACTTGTCACTTTTTTTTTTTTTGTTGTTGTTCCTGGAAAAATAAATTTTCTTTTTTTTTCTTTTTATTTTTAAAAATTCATATTTGATTGACAAAACAGGAAAATACTTTTTTTTTTCTTTGTGCGTTCGTATAAATTATTGCACATTTCATTTTCCAAGCAACGAAATAAATTTTAAAAAAACATGGCCGAAAACGAAAAAAAAAAAAAAATTTTTTTTTTTAAAACCCCAAAAGACAAAACGCTTTCATTTGTCAAATTTTTTATTTTATTTTACCAAACATAAATTTTCCAAGTGAAAATTTTTAATTTTGGAAAAACGAAAAGGAAGTTTTTAATTAGAAAAATGTTTTTACCGCTGGAGAAAATTTTTTTTTTTTCCACGAACGAAATAAAAATTATGAAACGTACACCGCTGAGGTTTGTGTGTGTGTGTGTGTGTGAAAATTACACAAGATGAAAATAAATTTCCGATAAAAAAGGATAACACGGAATAGAATCGATGTAAGATAACGGAATCGTTCGAATGGAATCCTTCCCATAAACGTGCATAAAAAAAAGTGGAAGAAGAAAAACGACAGCCACGACAACATTATGAGACATCAACATCCAAGTGGAAAGTTAAAAAATGAAACAGAAAATACCTAAAAAGAGTACTCATAACTAATTTTAGAATGATCGTAGTTGAAGGGTACCTACAACACAAACATAACAAACCGGAAATGATTTCTACAGGATTAAATGTTAGGCGTGATATCACCACCACCATCGATTTTCTAGCATTCATTCTTAAAGGATCGAGTGTAGACTTGGAACAAACGCTGGAAAACTTTGACAAAAACATAAAACTTATCGTGATTAAAAGTTACGACGATGATGATAATAAAAAGTAATAATAATAATAATAATAATAATAATTCATTTGCATAATTACTGTGTATGATGACGTGTACAAAACAGAAAAAAAAAAAAAGTTTTTATTTTTTACTTTTTCAACATGCGATGATATTTTAAACTTTAAATAAATTCTTTTTTCTTCTGTTTTATGTTACATATGACGTAATAAATATGACGTGTTACGCGAATAACGACGTTAACGGAAGTTGAGGGGGGGGGAGAGAAAAAAAAATTTTCTTTTCTCCACTTCCACGCAACACTTCCGCCGACATCAATTTTTCATTTTAACATATTTTCAGTACTCGAACGCATTTAAAAAAAAAAAAATTAAACCTGAAATTATTAACCGGATTATTTTTATCAAATAAACAAACAAACAACAAACGAACTCGTGTTCGTTATTTATATTTTAAATTTGAAAAAAAAATAACCGCGAAACAACCGGAAAAACCAACAAAGTTTAAAAATTATTATTATTGTTGTTGTTTTTCGAAAAGAGGAAAAAAAAAATTTTCTGCTTGTTTTGTTTGTTTGTTTGTTTCTTTTCTTAAATTAAGTTAATCGAAACAAAATACATAAGTAAATAAATAAATAAATAAATTAGTATTAAAAAAAAATGGCGTAAGTAAGTAAGGTACACGTAATAAAGTAAAAAAAAAAGAAACTTTTCTTATTACAAAATGTTTTTATCAGAAAAACAGGGAAAAAACATAAAAACATAAAAACATAAACATAAACAAGTTATTTGTATATAAAAATAAACATTGACCGTTAAATAAATAAATAAATAAATAAAAACTGAATCATTAAATTGAAAATGATCGTGATGGTATAATATAATGTTTTTCTATTTCCACGTTTTCACTCTTTTTTTTTACTATTATTACGATGATCACATTTTTAGTTAATTTTTTTTTACGGTATAAACGCGACGTGAAAATCGACATTTAATGGTCGAAAACATTAAATTCTAAAGAGAGAGAAAGAGAAAGAGAAAGAGAAAGAGAGAGAGAGAGAGAGAGGAGAGAAATGAAAGAAAAAAAACCGAAATGGAATTTTTTAGAATGTTAATTATTAGACTTATACAATCGAAAGTAAATTTTTTGTTGTTGTTTTTGTTGTTGTTGTACAAAATAAATTTTGTCGTAACGATAGTAAAACAGAAAATTAAAACGATGATGATAATAATAATGATGATGATGATAAAAATGTTTATCGTCGAATTTTAAAAAAAAAAAAAATACGTTTTGTTATCATCAAATGTAAAATTTTTAATTTAAAAAAAAAATAAATTTGTGCTTTTATTTTGTATAATAATGTCTTACTTCCGTTTTAATTATCATTATGTATATATATTGAGAGAGAGAGAGAGAGAGAGAGAAAGGAGGGGGAGATGGTAAAGGTCACAGAGAGAGAGAGAGAAAGAAACGGTGAGAATCGCATAAAGGGGGGAAAAACGGTGAGAGAAAAACAGAGAGGGTATAAACGGGGAGAGTTACACAGAGAGAGAGAGAGAGAGAGACAAAGAAAGAAACGGTTAAAATCACAGAAAGAGAGAGAGAGAAAGAGACAGTGAAAATTGCAGAAAGAGGAGGGGAAAGACGGTGAGAGTCACAGAGAGAGAGAGAAGGGAAAAGAGTGTAAACTCAAGCATAGCCTTTATTAATCGAAATTAACATAAAAACTATTATTATTATTATTATTATCATCATCGGTAATAAACGCGTCAATTCCTTCGTGATCATCAGATACTTTTCCAGCATCTTTTCCAGGTGATTTTTCACCTTTTTCACTTAATAATTAATGACGGTCAATTTCGTAATTTTTTTATTTTTATTTTTATTTTTAAATTCCATTCCAAAAAAGGCGTTTTTGGCGCGGTTTCCTGTTTTTCCGACTCATATTTAAAATCATTTCCGGTTTTAAATATCATATAATCAAGAATAAGTTATTTTATTTATATATCCGCTATTTCGGCCGTAATTAGCATCGTCTTATTATTATTATTATTATTATTATTACTCTCGAGAAAAAAAAATTTTTTTTTTAAATAATAAAGCTAAAAAGGTTTTTTTTGTAGTTGTTGGTTGTTTTGTTTTTTTTCCCCCCTGTAATATTTTACTCAAAGTTTGTTAATAATAAGACAAACGATTTCTACTTTTTCTTTGTTTTTTTGTAGTTTGTTTTTTTTTTAGTCCAAGTAAATCATAATAAAAAAAAAAGTAAAAAGTTGTGGAAAAGAACGAACCGCAATTTTTTTTTTTTTAACGGTTTTAAATATCGTTAATCGTTCGATATATCGATCGATTATTTCCTAAATTTTTAGGTTTTCAAGACTTTTTTTTTTTTTTTTACGAACGACAGGTTTATTTTGACGTTTGTTAAATTTATTGGTTTGTCATTGACAATGTAAACGGATGAACGTCTTATTTCATTTTTGATTATTGAAAACCGTAAAATAACAAACAAACGAACAAACGACTCAAAAACAAAATTAAAAAAAAAAAAAATTTTGACAATCGATTTCAATTCAATAATAATAATAATAATGAAAAATTAATTACGAAAAATTATTATTATTATTAATGTGCAAAATGTGTATTAAATTTTTAAAAAATTTGTTTGTTTGTTTTAAAATTTCGCGTTTTCTTTTGCATTATTTTGCATTATGTAAAAAAAAAAAAGTGTTTGTTGTAATATTGTTTGTTTTTTTTTTTACGATTTCCAAATGTTTCTTTTTAGTTTAGTTTAAAAAAAAATTTTTGTTTGTTTGTTTGTTTGTTGCAACAATTCATAAATTGATATTAAAAAAAAAAAAAAAAAAAATTTTTTTTTTTGCAAAAATGTACGAAAAAGTCTTAGAACGAAAGAAAAATTCGGTAAAAAAAATTTAAAACGTAAAAAAAATTTTAATCTCCTTCCACGATTTTTTTTTTTTATTGTAAAATATTTGAAACGTTTCAATTTTAAAAATTAAATTTTATCGTGCCATTTGTAAAAAAAAACAACAACAACTCTCTTTAGTTTTTCCAGGGAAAATTTTTTTGCTTTTTAACGATATTTTCGAATTTTTTGTTTGACCCTCACAAATTTTTACTGGAGAATCCAGAGATTGAAAGAAACTTTAACGGGGGGAAGAGGGGTCGTCAGCGTAAAGCAAACGTTTGTACGACTCCTCCAGAAGATAACGTAATCTCTAAGACGTATTTTCAAATATCACCCCAACACAAAACAAGTAGTCGAATGATATTATTTTGATTTTCGATAAATAAAACCCTATTTCCGCTTTTATTTATTTCCGGTAACGATTTTTAAAATTTTTTACCATTCGACTCGTATCGATTAACGTAAAAAAAAAAAAACCCGCGAAAAAAAAAAAATTTTCTTTCGTTTTCTTCTAACGGAAAATTTTTTTTTTGTTTTATTTCCGGTCGGGTGATGCTTCTGCTTTTGCTGTAGTACCTACCGCGAAAATTTTTTTTTTTAAAAATCGAATAATACATTATCAGGTTTTTAATCGTTTCCTTAACGTTAATTAAATTAATATTTATTAAAAATAGGATGACGTAGTGTCACGGAATCGAATATTATTATTATTATTTTTTAATTACGGATAATAATAATATAATTTTTATTAATTAAACCGTGAGAATCGTCATAAAGGTCAAAACTAAAAAAAAAAAATTAATTAAGGTATCGTGAACACGCACATACCTCCCCCAACCCCCTCAACCACCCACCCACGCACATATAAATGTATGTAAAAACCGGAAAATGAATTATATTCGTTTTTAAGTTTTTCCAAACGAGTTTAAACAAAACAAAATGAAAGCCGTTGTTGGTATTTTTGTGTTAAATATTTTTTGTTTTTTTAACGTGGAAGGAATGGATTTGGGTGAGCAAATAATAATAATAATAATAAATTTATTAAATAATTTATCGCAAAAAAAAAAATAAATAAAATTTTTTTTTTTTTTGCTTTTTTTTAGGGGACTTGATACCTTTGTGTTCGGCAAACGATCCCGAATTGAATACCTGCGTGAAAAATTCAGCACAAAAACTCATACCGCAAATAGTTAAAGGTAAGCAAGCATAAGTTAAACATAAGGAAAACTTGTTTTTTTAAATAATAAAATCTCGAACCCATTACCGGAAATAAATAAAAAATGAAATATATTAAATCGTCCGATCGTTTTTTTTTTTTTTTTCGAAATCGTTTTGGCTAAAGTTTGGGTCTGTTAGTGACACGTCGTCAATATAAAAAAAAAAAATCGATTTCTATGCTAATTTTATTATTATTATTATTATTTTTAACCGTAAAAAATGCGACAGATTTTATTTTATTGTTTAAACAAAAGGATATTTTATTTTTTTATATGTATACGTATGTAAAACCGGAAACGTCAATCATCTTTTCGCGAGACCGTTAAAAACACGTTCAACACGTCATCGTAACAAGTAATAAAAAAAAAAAAAATGGCGTACGAAACGAGGAGAGGGTGGGGAACCCGGGGAGGGAGGTGAAAAAATTTTCTTTTTTTAACGTTTTTTCCATGTGGCTGTTTATTTTTAGGAGTTCCTCTATTGAAAATTCCGCCATTGGATCCGATGATTTCACCGGAAGTTAAAATGTCGGAAAATAATGAAAAAATACAAATCGACGTTTCGTATAAAAACGTCGAACAATTGGGATTTTCTAAAACTCAAATCGATGACGTTTCGTAAGTTTATTATTATTATTATTATTACGGATTTATTTTCCTATCAATTATTTAAAAATTTTAATAAATAAATTTAAAAAAAAAAAAATTTTTTCCTTTTTTTTGGCATCGTGGAAAAAAAAGAAAAAAAAATTTTTTAACCCGTTTTCCGTTTTCATTTATCATTTTTTTTTTCCTTTTTTTTTTTAAACTCATTTTTCTTTTTCTAGAAAGTTCTCGATTTTTTCTTTTTAGAGTCGATTTGAAAAATGGTTTCATGATATTCAACGCAAGTTTTCCAGTTTTTAGTTTTGCCGGAGATTACGTCGCAAAAGGTCACATATTCAATTATCAAATGAACGGAGAAGGAAAAGCGAATCTCACACTACGTACGATTATCATTATTATTATTATTATTATTTATATCGATTAATTAATTATTGGTCGATGAGTGATCGATTATAAATAATTTTTATCGATATCGTTTTCGATTACAGAAAATGCAAAATGCGATTTGATAATCAATTTCCACGTGGAAAACGATCGGATAAAAGAAGATTCCGTTGTATTTCATTACAAATTCCACGACGTTTATATCGACTATGATCACGTGTCATTTACCGGTGACGAAAAATTGGGTAATTTTCTTTTTTCTTTTATCGATAACAATTATTATTATTATTATTTCGATTCGGAAAATGGATTTCGAACGCGAGAAAAATATTTAAAATTTAATTAATAAAAAAAAAAAAAAAAAACGAAAATCGTGGGATTATACAATGCGATGATGATGATAATTAATCATCCATTATTGACAATTTTTTCTCTTTGGGAAAATTCTTTATAATAACGCGGAGAGGGTGTGTGAAGGCTGGGGAGGTAGGGAAGAAAAGAAACATTTGCCAAAAAGTTAACGGGGAAAAAATTTAATTTGAAAATAAATAAATATCAGGTGCAAAATTTTCACGTCGGGAACCGCAAAATCTACTTATATGGAGCTTTATCACCCCCCCCACCACCACGCCCCTCACCACCTCCCCCTTCACCAACCTACCAACGAATATTTACCATTTTGCATGAGAAAAAAAAAAACGAAAATCCCGATTAATAAATAATCAGGTTCTATAAATTATATATTTTTTTTTTTTGGAAACCGGTTCTTCCACGACCATTTTGTTTTCTGATATTAATAATGATAATGATAATAATAATAATAATAATAATAATAATAATAAAGCCTTTAAAAAAAAAAGCAGAAGACTAAAAAGAAAACGTAATCGTATTCATTAGTCGTAAATTGTTAAATTCCGACGATTTGCGACTAAAAAAAAAAGGAAAATTTTCTGTTTTTACATTATCATCATCATTATTATTTTCCTTTTTTTTGGTCGACAAGGTCAAAGTTGAAAAGGGGGCCATTTAGAATTTAAAAAAAAAAAAATTTAAATTAAACGTACGTTTTTTTTTTTTTCCAGCGAAAACAACGGCTGAATTCATAAACGAAAATGGTGTTGAAATAATGAACGGATTCAAACCTTCACTCGATAGATATTATGGAAATTTGTTCCGGGAATATTTACGTGGATTTTTCGAAGCTTTCCCATATAGTATCCTGTTCCAAGAATCCTAATCCTGGAAGAAAAATAAAAAAAACAGGAGGATCTTATCACATACGAAGTCGAAAAAGGATTTTGATAACGGATATGATATATGCACGCAAAATAATAAATAATTTTCTTTTCTTTTCTTTTCTTTTTTTTCTTTCGCTTATTAATTTTCCGACAGAAATAATAATAATAATAATAATAGTAATGATGATGATTATTAACGAGTGTTAAAATTATTTATTTAAAAAAACATATTACATAAAAATTTCTAGAATTTTCTTTTTTTTTTTTTCGAAAAAAGATTCGTAATGAAATCCTCTTAATTTATTTAGGTTCAAATAATTTTACATTTGTTTTATTAACGAGTGAGAGAGAGAGAGAGAGAGATAGAAAAATAGATAGATGGAAGAAAGAGAAAACGAGAGAGAGAAACGACGTATTCCTTTTAATTTTTTTTTTTTTTAATCTGGGGCTTTATACGGAATAAAAAATAACCTTTGAGGCCATTTTTTTTTTTTCCTAACTAACCGTTTATTTTTTTCGTTAGCCAAAAACTGGGAAACCACAATACCTTGAAAATAAAAAAAAAACCTTTTTTTTTAATCCTTTGAGAACCGAGTAATGATAATAATAATGATTTTTTTTTTTTTTTTTCATTTAAAATTGAATCGAACAATCGTAAAAAAAAAAAACCGGAAATAAATGATCATCATGTGAAAATTTAAGATTAACGATCATCACACATTCAAACAAATGAAACTTTTTTTTTTTCCTTTTTTTTCCTTTTTTCCTTTGAATCTTTTTTTCGAGGCGAAGGGTTGGGGTTATATTCGACACGATAATCGTAGTGGAAGTAGATAATTATAACGATGTAAATAAAAATTTGTCGAAAGTAAATTAAAAAAAAAAAAAAAAATTTCGTAATCGTTTTGTTTGTTTGTTTTTTGTTTGTCGGTTTCACATTTTTGTAGGTAAAAAAAATTTCTTTTTATTGCTAACGTTGTTACAATCACTGATCTAATTATTATTATTATTATTATTATTATTATTATTAATTAGTGTTAATAGTTGTTGTAAAAAAAATAGTTTAATAGATTTTTTCGTTTTTTTTTATTTTCAGCAAAATTTTAATTTATAATTTTTTTAATGTTAGGCATGCGTTTTTTTTTTCTAGTTTGTTTGCGTTTGTTTGTTGTTGTCAGCAATTTTTTTTCTTTTTTACAATTTAATATTAATTTATAGTAATTTATTATTTGTAATAAATTTAAAAAAAAAAAAAATCCACCCGATGTTAATTTTATAAAAAGTTAAACAAAATAAAAATAAAAAAACATTTTTAAAGCAATGACGTGAAAAAAACAAAAAAACCAGATTTTATTATAAATAATAATAATAATAATAATAATAATACTTGCAATGATGATGATGATGATGATGACGATTTAAATCATAAATTATTTTTCCCTTCGAATAAATTATTTTCAAAATGGCTGTCAAACGCAAAAAAAAAAAAAAAAAATTATATTTCGAAGTTGGAAAATTTTACAACGAGATAAATAAATTAAAAAAAATTTTTTTTTTAACGAATTCGAAATCGACTTTGGTCCACGATTAATTCCATTCGATTTTAATAATAATAATAATAATAATAATATTATCTGAAACGATGATGATGAAGCTTTTACGACGATATCAAACAAACAACAAAAAATTTCCCCACAAAATTAAATAATTTTTTTTTTCTTTTCCTTTTTTCCTTTTTTTTTTCAATCCACGTGACTTTAAATCGTAGAAATGATAATGATAATAATTAATTAAGTTTTTTTTTTATTATTATTATAATTATGCATAAATGAATTATTAAAAAAAAAAAAATTTGAAATACGCCAACGTCGAAAACGTTTTTTTTTTCGCTATTTTCCCTCTTTTTTTTCCATTTTTTTTTTTTTTTTATTAAATTAATTATTAAAAATCAATGAACGAATCGATTGGGGACCTATTAAAGATTTTTTCAAAAGGAAAAAAAAGGAAAAAGAAGTAGAAAAAGGGGGGGGAGAAGAAAAAAAATTAAATTTTCCAGGGGAAGTAAAAAGAAGAAAAAAGCAAAAAAAAAAAAGGAGAAGCGTTAAGAAAAAAATTTATATAAATGTATATATATATATATACAAAGAAAGAGAGAGAGAGAAAGAAAGAAAGAAACAAAAAGAGAGAGAGAGAGAGAGAAAGGAACAGAAAGAGAGAGAGAGAGAGTCCAAGTTTTTATGAATAGACTCGTGAGAGACGTTTTACCTTAGAAATTTTTTTTTTTTTTTTTTTTTTTTTACTTTTCTTTACGTAATATTGAAACTCATAAAATATTTGTTGATTTTTCCATTGGAAAAGTAAAAAAGGAAAAAAAAAAGAAAAAAAATGGAAAAGGTTCAAGTGATAAATTTTAATTTGAATCATTAAACGTCTTTTTCTTCCTTTTTTTCTTCTTCTTTAATTCTTAAATTAAAAATTAAAACGAGGTCAAAAAAAAAAAAAAATTTCTGCATTCCTTTTAAAATTTTCCTTTTCCATCTTTCCTTTGTCCTTTTTTTTTTTGGAAAATTATCTTAACGTACAAAAAAAAAAAAATATAATTAATCCTCGCCATCATCATCACCATCATAATCATTTCGTATTATTTTCCTTTGAATCCTTTGACTATCCATCTTTTTTTTTCTTGACGTTTTTTTTTTTTTTAAATTTTAAATTTATTTAAAATGTTGGCGGCGGCCTTTACACTTTGATTACACAATTTCCTTTGTCATTTTTTTTTTGCTGTCCTTTTAATGTTTGATGCCTTCCATCTGATAATTATGTTTGTCTTCGACACCATTTTTTGTTTTTTTTTTGTTAATTAAGCACAACATTAATCGATTTCAGGCTCGTTTTTGTTTTGTTTTGTTTTTTTTTTTATGTTTTTATCAAAATCCTAATTTTTGTGCGTGTGTGTGTGTGTTCATCTTAACTAACCTAATTAATAAAAATCGCACTTTAATAATAATAATGATAAAATTTGTTTACGTATTAATATGTCCTCAGGTGCGAGTCTTCGTGTTTTTTTTCCGCTTCAACGAATTCGATTTAAATGTCAAAAAAAAAATTATTTCCCATGCTTACACGTTAAACGCGTAAATAATGATAATAATAATAATAATAATAATAATACTTTTTTTTCGTATTTAAAGGACAGGAAGTAGAGTAAAGTAACGATAGGATGACGACGTCCTAAATTTTTTTTTTTTTTTTTTATGGATTGTAGCAAAAGGTTTTTTTTTTTTTTTACCTTTTCTCGATCGATAATTCGATTAAATTTTTAAATCGAATCATTAAAAAAAAAAAAAGGTTAAAAACGATAAACCTTTTTTATATATACATATAATTACCGTAAACTATTAAAAAAAAAAAAAAATCGTTTTAAAACCTTTTCGTTATTGAGGTTTATTCACAACAACAACAACAACAACAACAAAGTCGTTAACTTTGTCTCCTCTTTCTCTCTCTTTCTCTTTTTTATTTATTTTTCCAGCAGGTTTTTTTTTGGAGAAAAAGTGAAATATATAATCGCCATGAATAAGAAGAAGACTTATTTTTTCAAAAAAAAAAAAAAAAAAACTTTGACATTTGGTTCCGGAAAAAAGAAAAAAAAAAAAAAACTGAAATAAAATGCCATAGAAGGTCATATGTTCGAGTATATTTGAAATGCATTTTTGATTATCATCACATTTTTTTTATTACGTCATAAAAAAAATGATAATAATAATGATAATAATAATAATGAAAAAATTTTTTCCAGATGTTTCGATTTTTTTTACTTTTTTTCCCTTTGTCCAGTATTTGGGTTATAAAATGGAGTAAACACAAAACAAAATTTTCTTTTTTTTTTATTATTATTATTTTATGTCACGTGACGTTATCACTCTCTCTCTCTCTCTCTCTCTCTCTATTTGATAATAATGATGATAATATGTAGACATGATATTAGTGTCAAAAAAAAAAAATCTTCCTGACTATCAATTTGTATAATAATAATAATAATTTTAATTTAATTTTAATGCGCCATTTTTTAATCTTTGTCGGCGTGAGACAGAAAATTTTTTTTTCTTCTCATCTTCTTTCTCATCTTCTTCCTGTGTGAATGTGTAAATTTAAAAATGAATGTTCTTCTTCCCTGTTCAGGAAGTTGTTGTTGACGACGTACGTTTCTTCTTCTTCTTCTTATTTTTTTTTTTTTATCCAAAAATAGAATTTTTATTATAAACTTATTTTAGAATATTGTCCAACGTGTCGACGATGGTTTTTTTTTTTTTTAAATTTTTATCATTCAAAACCCTTTTTATTATTATTATTATTATTACTTCATTCCTTCTTTTTAAAAAAAAACTGTTAAATTTTTATAACAATTGTTCATTTCTTAAAATCTATTATTATTATTATTATTATTATTATTATTAAATTTAAAAAACGAATAAAAAAACTTTTTTTTTTGTTACTTTCCAGCACAGTTATAAGTGGATTACCTTTAAATCTTTCAATCATTTCGAAAATAAATTTCGAAATAATTTTCGAATAGGGAAACGCGAGGGTGGGGGGAAGGAAGGGAGGGGAGAAGGGGAAAAGGTGGGGAGTATGGGGAGAAAAGCAACAGTAAAACTTTTTCATAAAAAAACACAACAGTTCGGTCGAAATAAATAAATAAAAAAATCGTCATTATTATTATTATTTATGTGTTCGTTTCGTTTGCATGAATTTTTTATGATAATTATTATTGTTTTTGGAAAATTTTTTTACGCGTTCGTGAGTTACACTTAACAACAACAAATTATTATGCAACGAAAACAAACAAACAAACAAACAAACAAAATTTAATGATAGGTATTAAATGTTTATTTTTTTTTTTTTACTTTAATTGGCGCAAAAAAAAACGTTAAAAGTCATTAAGAAAATTATCATTACCCTCCTCCTTCTCCTCCTTCTCCTTTCCCTCCTTCACTTATCCTTAACAAAAAAAAAAAATCTGTCACCTAATAATAATAATAATAATAATAATAAAATTAGTCTGGAGAAGCGGATGATGGTGGTGGAGAGAAAATTGAAATTATTATTACGTCGTAAAAATTTATATTAATTATTTATCACCCTTTAAAAAACTTATGAATAAAACAAACAAACAAACAAACAAAATAGAAAAATCGAAAACTCAAAAACCGGAGTCGTTTGTCAGTGGTAATAATAATAATAATAATGAGTTTATATATAAAAACAACAAACAATTTGAAATTTAAATGAATTATTTAATATAACAAAAAACAAACAAGTTAAATTTTT